CACTACAGTAGCAGGGTTTCCCTACTCACAACTTATATGTGGCCTTCCACAAAGGACATATTTTTTTGTGTGTGAGGATTGAACCCAGTGCCTCATGCATGCTAAAGGAGGTATCCTGACATAGAATGACAAGAGGCAAGCAGGGACATTGCCTTGGCTCCACTGCATGGGAGCCCGTGCCTCAACTCTACCTGTGCTGAGCTGTTGTACAAGAGTCAGTACTCTGAGCTGAGGGGCTGGGCAGTCCCCTGGGAGAGGAATCTGGAGGCCCTGATGACATCCCAGTGAGCTCTGCTGCAATGCCTTGGAATGCACAGCACTTATGCTGCAGTACCTTGGAATGCACTGCTTGCAGGGCCAGAGGTTCACTTGTTCCCTCTGTGCCTGGTGTAGGAGGAGCTGATTAACTCGGTGGTCATCTCCCAACTTTCCCACATCCCTGAGGATAAAGATCACCAAGTCCGAAAGCTGGCTACCCAATTGCTGGTGGACCTGGCGGAAGGCTGCCACACCCACCACTTCAACAGCCTGCTGGATATCATCGAAAAAGTGAGAGCTGCTTGGGGTCCTGGACTAGGTGCCAGGGGTACCCCTTTATTGCAAATCCCTGTAGGCAGAGGCATCCCCTGGACCCTTTCTCCTATGCATTGTGATTGGTGGCCATCTCTTGCAGGCAGGGTGTTCCTCACAGCACACATGGGTGGTATCAGCAGGTCATACTGTGCTGCTTACTGCTTGGCAGGTCTCCTGCCCAGGGCCATKGATAGGGCTGCCTTGTGGCTTCCGGGGAGCCGGGCTGGGTAAATGAGGTCTCAYGCAGAGCCCAAGAGCAGGGGATGGGACTGTGGTCTTTCCTATTAGTTTGGAAGTGCCTTATGATCTGAGTGGTAACCTCGGTTGTATAGAGTGCATCTGTCCTGAGAAGTTGTTCATGGTAGAAAGTGCTGGATCTGATGGCGACTGCTTCAGGGAGCCATGAGCTGGGACTCACAGTCCTCATCTCTCTAAAGGTGATGGCCCGCCCCCTTTCCCTGCCTCCTGAGCTGGAAGAAAGGGATGTGGCTGCCTACTCGGCCTCCCTGGAGGATGTGAAGACTGCAGTCCTGGGGCTTCTGGTCATTCTTCAGGTGGGTGCTCTGCTAGTGGCCTCTTCTAGGAGAGTGTCACAATCAGCTCTTATCCATTATAGTTGGAGGCTGTTCTTCAGAGGTGTGTTTCCCAGGAGATCTGACCTCCCAGGGTCACAGAAGTATGGTGGTTACAGCAGGCATAAGGTCCTGACTGGACAAGAGGCTGCAGGGGTGAGGTAGGGATGAGTTCTGTGTTGTTTGTACCGTGTACTATCTAGTCTGTGTGGAACTGCCAGAGTCTAGGCAGAACCACCTCCTGTCCTTGTCCAAATGCTTGCCCTTGTTCCTGCCACAGCAGCTGAAAAGAAACCAGCTGTTTTGATTGGCAGGATTGATTTCTTTTTTTTTTTTTTTAATATTTATTTTTTAGTTTTCGGCAAACTCAGCATCTTTGTTTTTTTTTTTTTTTTTTTTTAAAGAGAGAGTGAGAGAGGAGAGAAAGAGAGAGAGAGAATTTTTAATATTTTATTTTTTAGTTCTCGGCAGACACAACATCTTTGTTGGTATGTGGTGCTGAGGATCGAACCCGGGCCGCACGAACGCCAGGCGAG